GAAAGATATTTTACAAGCTGCCAACGCATCTTCCAAGCTGCTTAGAATTTACTTGGAGAGGCCTGACAATGCTGTGCAGCTGCTGCAACGACATTGGGTTTGCTGCTAAGAATGAGCTTCGCGAGATCCAGAAACCATTGCAATTGACTGTGCTCAGCTTCAAAAAAGACTGGATTTCCTTTGTGGAGAGGTGTTCACAAAAAGTGATGGAAAGGTCACCTATGAATTACAAGTTGACTAGAGGTGCAAGCTGCTTGGATCCGGCTAGTGCGTTGTCTCCGGAGGTTGGTGAGAAACAACTGTGCATTGCACTGGAGGTGCAAACGGAGCATCAGTGGATGGCTGGCTTTGAAGCAGAGCGGACGCACCGTTCCTATGTATCTAGGTATATGCTCACTCAGCTCTGTACAGGCAGCGTTGAAGGACTTTGACAGGAAAGAGCAGAGGCTGGACGCACGCTGGTTTGAGTTGTGTTCACAAAGAGCTATTTTTGTTTCTCAAGCTAATTCTCTGCTTGTCTCATGGCAGCGCAGCTGTGGAACGAAGGTTCTCCGTGAACAAAGAGTGCCTTATCGAAAACCTCAAGGAAGTGTTACTGATAGCACAAAGAGTGGTGTATGATAAAGTCTCAGCAATGGAAGGGGTGGCCAGAGTTGATCTTACGAACAGGATGGAGCAGATGGTTTGTGGTGCCAATGCCCAATGGAAGGAGGGGCTACAGAGAAAGAGGCAGGAGAGATTGGATGCATCAGAAGCTGAAAAGAAGAAGGTGGAAGCAGAGGGTCATAAACGAAGCACAGTTGCATACTTCTCGTTTTGACAAAGAAATTGACTCCCTGAAACAGTTAGCCCTGGTCAATGCTGTATTCTAAACATCTTCAAGAGTGAGGTAGTTGCTTTATCTAACTTAAATAAAATATTTTACATTGTGAATAGTCTCTATCTATATTGTGTTGCGTTTTGGTGTCAGTAGTCGTTTCTGGGTGTGGGTTAGGGAATTTAAATAAACGAGTCAGAGAAAACATAAAAAATCAGGGTATTTGAAGAAAAAAAAATTTGGTGGACGCCCTGATAATGTAATGCTCTATCTTTTAGCTTCTGCTTCGCTCACTCCCAATGAAGCAGTGTATACTTTTGTCGCGGCCGTCGCCGATACCATGTGCCGCACGAGGAAGGCAGAATGCAGAAAGGAGCTTCAGTCCTCCCCGTTTTGTGTTCTGCCTTTGTAGGACAATGGCTGCTATGAAAGCACCCGTGCATGGCCGGCGCAGCGTCGAAGCTTGGGCTGCGCCCGAGCGAGGGTCAGACACGTCGGACACGCACTCGCAGAGCCTACTTTCTACTTCAGTTTTATCCCTTGCCAGGAGCCTCCAGGTGGCGCATGAATGAAACGGCACGTTCTGCCGTTTCATTCGTACCACTCAACTAGATTAGCATTGCGTTCTGTAAGACGAAACATGAGCAACACTGACTAGATCATGTGCCTGGGAGGAACGAGAGCCTCTGTATATGTAAGCTTTAGCTGCCAGAGCAGCGCTATGCTTTTCCCCGCGCTGCCTCTCGCCGCCATTGGTCTAGTGCGGTATTTGCAAAAATACTCCAAAAGCCGGGAGACGTCATAATTAAAATAAGAACACCGACTTGACATAACAGAAAAAACAATTTCATTAGACGTTTCGCCTCCCATGCGGGAGGCATCATCAGTAGTTGCACAGCAAACGCAGGGTTCAACCTGAAGTTAACGCTATTAATCACGAATATCCGTGTAGGCTTCGTGGAGAGGGCCGCGGTTTTTGTTGCACACGGATGTGCCCCTGCGAACAAACCACGATTCTAGGAGCTTTCTAGGCCCCCATCTGTCCTCCCTCGCCAAGGTCGTCGTGGCCGGAAAGTCGAAGGAATGCCCCATTGTCCACGCATGGTCCACCAGTTCAGTCTTCAGTCGCGTCGCGTGGGATGTGCACGTGACGTCACGCTTGTGTTCTTTGAGTCTGGTATATCTCCTCCGTCCGGTTTCACCAATGTAGGACGCTGGGCAGTCACTGCAGGGGATCTTGTAGATAACGCCAGTAAGGTTCTTGGTAGGTGGTTCCTCCTCGATGGTGTGGAGGAGGATGGCTTGCGTTGGACGGTGGCGGTGGTGTAGCAGTTTGGGCCAGACAACTGTTTACGCAAATGCTTCTTTGCAACAGTTTAATATAAGACAATTTAACATACGGGATTCAGAAATACAAATATCGACAACCCGAGCCCCGGACTTGGCCACCGTTAGAGAGCGGCTCCTTTCTCTCCAAAGGTACCGAACCGAAGACGCCCTGCTTTGTCTCGCCTGTGCTCTTATCGAGAGGAGCCTGTCCCTCTTTCCCATTTTCCCATGGAGGTCAACATTCTCATCCGGCGCTCCGAGCCCAGGGTCAGACGTAGGAGGCGCAGACGAGTCTGGCCCCCAGACACGACAAATCACCCCTGGCACTCCGAACACCGGCTGGAGAGACAGGTGCCGACAGACGAAGCACAGCGCCCGAGACATTTCCAGGAAAGCGACTGGCACTTGTCAATGGGAAGCGACGAACGACTTTCCAAGCAACCCCAAGCGGTGGCACTGGTCGACCACCAGAGAAAAACACTTAACTGCGGAGCCTCCCCAACTGCAGGCAGCCGAGCGGGGCGAACATGCCGGGGCCTGTTCCCTAGTAACGGGACACCGGCGCCACAAAGGGGGCTCCTCGTCCCACGCACAACTACTCCCTTCCAAAGGTCGTAAACATCCCCTAGTGAATCCCACACGTCTCCCCCAAAATCGTTCGTGCAGGGCCTCCAGACGAAGTAAGACAACAAATAAAAAGGTTCCGGAACCTTACAACGCCTCTTTGTAATGAGTACAGGTGAACCGAACCACAGGATTGAAACGGGTGTATACCGCAAACCATGTGAAACAGATAATTTTTTGGATTTTTTGTCCCATCACCCAGTGCAACACAAGAAATCAGTAGTGCGATCGTTTGTACAGAGATCAAATACCGTGTTATCTAATGAGCTCCATGGCGCAAATGAGATGACTCATTTACAGGAAGCTTTGGTGAAACGTCACTACTCAAAGCGTTTTGTTGACGAAGTCAAAAACAAAATGAAACAAAATGTGCAACCGTGCGAAAGGGAAAGAGATAAGAATGTAGTGTGCATCCCCTATGTCGAAGGAGTCTCCGAACCTCTTAGTCGCGCTTTGAGGCCCCTTGGCATTCAAACTGTTTTCAGGCCATACAGAACTATTGGAAATTCCGTTTCCAAACCAAAGGACCCAACCCCGGCGAACGTCCAAAGAGGCGTTATCTACAAGATCCCCTGCAGTGACTGCCCAGCGTCCTACATTGGTGAAACCGGATGGAGGAGATATACCAGACTCAAAGAACACAAGCGTGACGTCACGTACGCATCCCACGCGACGCGACTGAAGACTGAACTGGTGGACCATGCGTGGACAATGGGGCATTCCTTCGACTTTCCGGCCACGACGACCTTGGCGAGGGAGGACAGATGGGGGCCTAGAAAGCTCCTAGAATCGTGGTTTGTTCGCAGGGACACATCCGTGTGCAACAAAAACCGCGGCCTTCTCCATGAAGCCTACACGGACATTCGTGATAAATAGCGTTGACTTCAGGTTGAACGTTGCATTTGCTGTATAACTGCTGATGATGCCTCCCGCATGGGAGGCGAAATGTCTAATGAAATTGTTTTTTCTGTTATGTCAAGTCGGTGTTCTTATTTTAATTATAGTGCGGTATTGTAGCAACCGGCCAAACTGGCTTAGTTCCCATAGCAACCGACAGAGCTGAGCGAGGCCAATGATTGCTCTAGTAGCGTTTATATATCTTGGGGCGCTGCTTGCGTACCTGTAGTTTGCTGCTTTCGCTTCTCAAGTAGCGCCTAGTCCAAATTGTTGGTGTCCGTCTCTATGTTCGTTGGTTGTACAGTGAGTCTCAAGTTATCTCAAGTCTCAAGTTATGGACGCCTCGTCTCAAGTTATGGACGCCTCGTCCATAACTTGAGATATGCCCGTACCAGAGTGCCAACCAAGCTTTCCTGATGCTTTTGCTCACTTTTAGCAACTCTTACCTCCTTTCAGTGAGCAGACGGAGATGTAAGAGGAGCCATACTAATAAAGGTGGCCAGGGGCCGCTAGCTGCTCGGTTACCATGGTAACCACCAGGCCTAAAATGGAGATCACTATTGGCACTTCTGACTTTCAACTAGGTCTATTTGCATCTCAAGCTACCATATGTCGTGACCCTGGAAGAGATCAACTCAACCATGCACAGGAAACTCGGCTCATGTTTAGTACAGGAAGAATGTGCAACACGGGAGAAATCCCCATACTCAAGATGGGAAAAAGCACTCTGCATTGCATGATCGGTGAACAGTATGCAGGGCCATATTTTCTGATCAGCAATAGGCAGGATATGCGTTACATTTTAAGCCAATTATTTTTCTCAGACTAACTGCCAAATTTATTAATATAAAATTAGCAGTAAGCCAATCAATCAATCGATCAATCAAGTTTTATTTTCTAGAAACTTACGTAGAATTCTGCAGACAGAAAGTTGTTAGGAAAATAGCTTGACGAGGCCTGGATTCCCTATTATATTGGCGACAGAAACATGATAAAAATGTGAGAAAATATATGTCTCAAAAAAACGACAGCACGAAGAAAAAACTACAAAAAGGTGAATAAAGTTAATGCACTATTTTACATAAAGAAAGTGCAAACAGAGGTCTCTTTTACTTAATGTGTGTATGTTTAATCTTGTTTGTGATACATCTGTTCATAGGATTGGTTTCTATAGTGTAGGAACCGGAAGCTATAGCTCGTACGAGGTTGCCTTGTATGTTCTATGTAGTACAGTACTACAAAATTGGGCGACTAATATTTTTCCTAACTCGTTGCTGTCCTTAATTGAGTTGAGGTGGTATTCTGTAATCAAGACAGGCTTGTATTTTTTCAGCATCAACAAGCGACCCCAAGAAACAGACACGCCGGAGAAGCCACAGAAGAAGAAAAAGAAGCAGAAATGAGGACAGTGTTTGCAACATTTGTGCTCTGTAAAATAAATGCTAAAAATGCCAATGTTTTGTTATTTGGTATGCCAAATGAATTTGCGATGGTCACAAAAGAAGCGATTGTTCCTAAATGCTCTTGTATTCTGCTTTATTAGCTTTGAGGTTTTTTTTAAAGGGGCACTGAAGTCATTTTTGGAAATGGTCGTTTTTGATCTTATATTGTTTAAAAGGTGTTAGTTCCCACATATACAAAATCCTATATTACAAAACTGCCTATTCATCTCGGGGCAACAAAAAAATATGTGATTTTTTTTTTTTTTTTTGCGGACTACATTGTGTGGACCAGTGAAAGCCTCACATACGTGCAGATTCCGAATGATTTTATTATAACTCGTTTCGAAGAGAGTGATAAGTACACATTCGGATAAGACTCCTTTTTTTTCACCGCGGGCAAAGCCATCGCTTGCAACTCGCCGACAAGCGCGCTTCATCGACCACTTCACTCGGAAGAAAATCCTTCCCAAAACGGGTGTGTCGCGATTTTTGAACACGCTTTTAACGAGGAAAGAAGCTACGCACGATTGTGATTTCTGGTCTGTTGGGATGCGCAGAGCTTCTAGACCGAGTTGTCGCCACAAAAGAATGAACTCAGAATCGACTTCAGTGCCCCTTTAATAAGTATGCACGTTCATGTTCATAAGAAAATGCGCCTTTAATTTTAACGTATATTCCAAAGTATTCAATAGTACTTACCTCGTAATTAAATATTTCTATAATCGGCAACATTTTAAGAACTGTAGTTGAGATTGTAGATTGTGTGACACTGCAGGAGTGTACCATAAAGATTTGCACTTTGCTGGAAATACTGGCCACTTAGAGGTTGGTAGCTGTTTTTAAAGATACAGTTGGTAGCAGTATTTAATGGTTTTGGGGGGGGGGGGGGGGGGGTTGACTAAAAACTCCGGCCATCATTAAAAATTGCGGTGGCTTAGCTCGGCTATGCCAGGATATACACCTTTCTAAAAAACACTCGACCCCAGAGGCAACAAACCGTTTTCGAGCCCAGTCACTGAGTTTGAGGCTAGACTCTCACCGGCATCCCTCCTAACCCTAAACGAGTGGACTGTGATTTCAATAGGCGCGGCCTGCGTTGGCGCGGCCTACGTTTGAAACTGCGTAGGCGCAGTTTCAAATGCTGGTGGCTAAATTCTCATATTTTCCCAATATATTTTGTGTTTCATGGTACATGTATTTTCCCGGGGACATTGAGAAAGCATTGTATCACATTTGAAAAAAAAAAAAAAAAAAAGCGAAAAACAAAACAAGCTGTAATCTATTTTTGTTGGGTACGCGCGCGACAGAACGAATGCGACTGGAATGTATAGTTCTAGTTATTTGTGTTCTTTTCTTACGGTAAGGTTTGACGGCGTTGCAGGATTCGCCGCATGTGAAACGACAAAGCGCTTTGCTGTCAAAAATAAATTGCAACAGAAGAGGGCCGAAAGGCGTGCATTTTAACGTCCACAAATAACGTGTTTACCGATGGACAAGAGACGGACATACAATTGAAGGAAGTGTTAACATTCGAACAATATATCGTACGTACCACACGATGCAGCGTTATCCGAAAAGAATTTATTTGAGAAAGATCTCAAATAACACAGTCACAGTAGACGACAGTCACATTTTGACTATCGGACGGAATCCGAGATGACTTTGTTTTGGGGCACGTTTTGGAGAGAGCCTCCTTTTTCACAACCGCACCAAGGCAAAGGAACGAACGCGACTGACCCGTTTCCCACCCCAACCCGGACAACTATTTTTGGAGACGACTGTGGATTCTACGCGGATTATCTGTAAGAGGGGGGAGTTTCGCAAAATCGCGTCGAGGGTCATTCAACGTTCTTCACCTCCTTCGTTTCCCGTCAATATTGGGGAGGAGGACAGACCGCGACGCCCCAAGCGGTTAACCTAACAACTACACGGATGGGGACAACAAATACAATGACGCAGCGTTCGGCCGACATAACCGAACGCGGCCTCAGCGTTCGGCTGGAGTTCGTGTTCTCCGGCGAAGGGGAGGAGGGGCTCTTTTGTTTCCACTCGGCCTGCATGAACAATGCAGCATGCACGATCCCAGCTCATCACAAAAGCCGAAGTGGGTTAAGCTCGCATTCTCTGAGGATAGATCCGGCACTTAACGTCGCTTCGTCGATTGTTAGTATTTCTTTTATTAAACTGCGCCCCGCGCTCTATTGTAGAAGATGACATGGCCATGCCCATAAGGCCTGTCGGCATGTGCACAGGCCTTGTGTTGAGTAAACACCAAGCGTGGGGAAAACAAACGGGTCAGAGCGCCCCCTATAGTTCGATCTCCTGCCCAATAAAGCAGAAAAACTTGAATGGCAGGCACTTACCAGCCTTTTTTTCTCACAATGGAAGATAACACAGAAAGGGTACGCAGCACGCATAAAAAAAAATTGAGGGAAGGGTACTGAGGGGAGGGTAGACCCCTCCTCCTCCTCTCCTCATTCTTTAATGTTCCGGGGGGTCACGTGACCTCGGGGGGAGGGGGTCACGTGACTTTGGGGGTGTCACGTGACTTCGGGGGGAGGGGGACACGTGACCTTGGGTGGCCTTGAGGGTGATGTGGGGTCACCTTAGGGGGGGTCACGTGACCTGGGTTACGGCGACGCCGACGCCGCTCAAGCCGGAAACGGGTGCCTAAGAGCTGCGCTCTAAAACTTGAATGGCAGGCACTTAACAGCCTTTTTTCTCACAATGGAAGATAACACAGAAAGGGTACGCAGCACGCATAAAAAATTAAGTGGAAACTTTCAAGAGGGGCAAGAAAACGTTGAATGCAAAACCGCCAAAACGTAGGTAGAGAACCGCGCTGAGCGGGTCTACACAGTCCAAGAGAGTAGCAGAAAATTTCTAGCTGATAGAGGGCGCGAGAGTCGCACCAGCCGCATCAACATCAGCAACATGGCGGCCTAGGAGCGTTTTTTAGGAAGGTGTATACGTAGCGTGAGCTTATGCGCACAAAATGAGAGGCTATCAAGCGGCTCCGGTGCAGCGTTAAACTTAGCTACTGCGCAACGGAGGCGCACAGCTGGGCACGCGACGGCGCGGCTATGACGTCACTCTGGAATGGGCAGACCGGGAGGCGCGCGCGGTGGCGTCGGAGCGCGCGGCAGCTCCGGCGTTCCAGCTGTGCGCCGTGTGACGTCACTGCTCCTCGCGCATGTGCAGACCGGCGAGGCGCGCGCGGCGGCTCTGGCGCGCCAGCTGTGCGCCGTGTGACGTCACTGCTCCTCGCGCTTGCGCAGCACGGCTCCTTTAAGCCACGCGAAACTGCTCAACCTCGGCCAGTGTAGCTCACGCTACAAAAACCACTCAATCAACACACCTTAAAAACAATTGAGAGCCCATCCACCCCGTGAAGAGAGACGTTCAGCGAACATGGGCGTCGGCAGGGTTTTGTCTTGGGGGGGGGGGGGGGGGGGGGGAGGAGGGGGAACAAATTGACGGCCCTTCGGCATATGCGCCCAAGGCGGGGGGGGGGGGGGGGGGGTCGTTCAAGAGTAAAATACGAAAAAGCTAAATACAGCTTGCAAGATGCAGATATTTTTTATTAAACAATCACTTTAAAAAGTACAATGCATCAGTAATTTCAACGTAAGAAAAAAGCACCTCTATAGATATATACACACAGTGAAAAAAGTAAAGAATATAGTCCATGATGGCGGCAAAACAGCAAAATAGTTCACTTAGTTTATAATTATCTCAAAGATAAAAAAGTACGAAGATTTTATATGGAAGTATTGGCATCATATGTACTGCAATGAACAATACCCTTTTATTTCCATATTTAACAGTATTTGTCGTTTATACAAGTTTTTAAAAGCTACCCCAAGTTGGCCTATGTTCAAATTTACAACTCTAATTTTCTGCAGAAAATTGTCTTCGCTCGTTATATTAATTCGAAGCGTTTCCCGGGTTGTGGTCTGTGGAAGATATCTGAAAGCTGCGTTGGCTCTGTTGAAAAGCTAGCAGGGCGGGCTACCATCGGAGGGTTAGTTGCCATGGTAACTTTCCGTATTTCCTCGACGCGGGTTCCCTTAGCTTGCCTCGGCACAGTCGGACGCGGCTGTTTGAAGGACTTCAATCACGAAAGACAAGGAGCGTCCGTCTAGGCGCACGCATCGCAAACTCTTCAACCACTCTCTCCGCGAACTTTCTCTGTCCTGTCTTTTCGATTTTTTCCCGATGAAGGAATATCATGCAAAGACCGGACAGTCGGTCATCCGACATCATAGAGCGGAGCCACGTTTTTACACGTCGCATTGTGCTGAACGAACGCTCGGGACAGCACGTCGTTGCGGGGAACGTTATTGCCGTTTGCAGGGCACGGTTCGTCGGGATAAATCCCCTCAGCAAACGTGAGGAGGCTCATGAGGTCCTCATCGAAGTCGCTATTCCTCCACGATCTACGGCACAGTTCAACTTCGCATTCGAAGTTGTCAAAATCAAAATGCTCCGCAACCGGCTGGCAAAGTTTGACCCTGACATCATCTTCAGAAAGCTGCTTCAGGGACCTTGGGTGCAGCAACAGCAAAGCGAACGCGGGTGTTTTATTTTCCCCGAACTTTTCTTCGAGGGCTGACAGCAGGGAATCCAAGTACGGAAACCAGAGGGTAAAAATATTTATTCGTGGAAATTATAGAGCGCCTTAGTGGCAAACGCCGATTTTGGTTGGTCCTTTCTCCGACGGATGAAGAGGTTGAGTCATGCCTTGATTGTTTTCTAAACACATGAAAAGCGATAGTACGCAAGAATAATAGCAAATATAAATTAAGCACACGGACGATGAAGGGCGCAACGTGAAAATTGTGTCATGTCCGTCTCCCGTTCCCGTGTTTTCCCTTTAAATGTTTTAACGCTCTCTCCCTTAGGGATATAGTTCTTGATCTAAACATCTCCCGACGAGGAGGGTTTTATGTATTCTTTATATATATTTAAAACGAACGGAGAGAAAGATGTTTTAATTTCAATAATATTTCA